CTTCCCAGCAAGGTGACCCTCCCAGTCCCATCGCCCATCCAGCGGTCCCAGGGAGAGGGCCAAAAAAACCAGACCAGAGATAGCCTTAGGCACGATCTTTATTCACTTGGACACTGTACAAATATTACATTTTCCTTTTGTTGAAAAAAAGTATAAAAATAATCTTTATATAGGAATCCATTCGTTACTGCAAATCTTTCTAAATCTCTGCAAATGGCTCTAAATGAGGGTAAATGAATAAAACGAGGGGCTATTGGGAGGAGGGAGGTTGGGTCAATCCTCAGGGACTCACCTGCCCAGATTCCTAGCTAGAGACCTCTGTTCCTGTTAGCACCTCCCCCTTCCCCCAACATCACCTACAGGTGGTCGGGGCTAAGGGCCAGGCAGGAGGGAGGCAGGGCAGGTCCAGGAGGAGCTCCAGGGTAAAGGGTGGAGAGAAGTGAAGGAGGCGAGGAGTGGTGCTGGAAGTGCCCAGCCCACCCCAGCTTCCCTCCCAGGAGGGGGGAGAGCTGACAGGAACAGGGCAAGGGGGAGGTTAGACAAGCTGCCCTATGGAGTGAATGTGTTTCCTCACTGTGACACCGGGTGGCAGCAGAGCCTGGGCTCAGGGGAGGCACAGGGAGGGCACAGGTGGGGGAAGGCTCCAGAAAAGGAGAAGCAAATATTTTGGCTCCACCATGGAGGGAGCTGAGCCCCTTCTGCTCTCCCAGCACAATGCAGGTGTTGGTGCAGGAGTGGGAGCTGTGGCCAGAACTGTGCAGCGAGGGAAAGCTGGGGAAGCCGGAGTCTGTGCTCTCAAGCTGTGTGTACGGCTGAGATGTAGGAGGTCCCCAAGCAGCCCTCAGGTTAGACAGTCTGTGTCCCAGCCACATAGGGCATGTCCCCGTCAGAGGTTGAGAACAGGCACATCAAAGAGGTCACAGACGCCTTCACTCTCATCCAGGTTGTAGATGTAATCGTGGTCTCCGGGGGGCGGAGAAAGGCGGAGAAGGGGGGCAAACACTGCAGAGAGCACCAGACTGAGGCCTGAGGTCAAGGCCAAGGCCCCCCACAACAGCCGCCCAACCCCTTGCCCACACCCACCACCCACCTTCCTGGGCCACCCACCTTCTGAGGACATCAGCTCCTCCAGTAGCTCCGAGCTCATGCACTCTGGGGAAGGAGGGAGACCGACCTCACATGCTGGCTCCTGCCTCTCCACCCCCCAAGCCCAGGAAGAGGACCTCCCTCTGCCCCATCAGGAACCTTTACACTGTGTCCAGGTACCAATCATAACCATAGGTCCTCAGAAGCTGCAAGACCCAATAAGCTGTGCCCCGTTCCCAGCCCCAAGGAGGAACACAGCCCTACCTGGTGTGGGATCAAAAATTTCTGACAGCTCTTTGGGGAGTTCCAGAACTGAAAGATAAGAAAGCCATGCTCAAGGGCACAGAGGTCCAGCCTGGTCCCACTCTAGCCCCCAACTTTCTCAGATCCTATACCACCCACCCTGGGGTTCCACAGAGCTGAAGAGGAAGGCCCTGCCCTAAGCCAGGCTGGCATTATCTGTTGGTCTCCCTTGCTGACAAATTCTTCAGTGCGGAGTCTAGGATACCAAAGGCTCATTGCAGGTGACTGGTACACCCTTGTAACTCAGAAGTGCTGCAGAAGGGCAAGCAGACCACTTCCTTTCTGGGTCCAGCATGCATATGCTGACTGATGCAGGATACCCTGTCTGATGGAGGACACCCTGTGTAATAGAGGATACCCTGTCTGATGGGGGATACCCTGTCGGATGGAGGATACCCTGTCTGATGGAGGATACCCTGGCTGATGGAGGATACCCTGGCTGATGGAGGATACCCTGGCTGATGGAGGATACCCTGGCTGATGGAGGATACCCTGTCTGATGGAGGATACCCTGTCTGATGGAGGATACCCTGGCTGATGGAGGATACCCTGGCTGATGGAGGATACCCTGGCTGATGGAGGATACCCTGGCTGATGGAGGATACCCTGGCTGATGGAGGATACCCTGGCTGATGGAGGATACCCTGGCTGATGGAGGATACCCTGGCTGATGGAGGATACCCTGGCTGATGGAGGATACCCTGGCTGATGGAGGATACCCTGGCTGATGGAGGATACCCTGGCTGATGGAGGATACCCTGGCTGATGGAGGATACCCTGGCTGATGGAGGATACCCTGGCTGATGGAGGATACCCTGGCTGATGGAGGATACCCTGGCTGATGGAGGATACCCTGGCTGATGGAGGATACCCTGGCTGATGGAGGATACCCTGGCTGATGGAGGATACCCTGGCTGATGGAGGATACCCTGGCTGATGGAGGATACCCTGGCTGATGGAGGATACCCTGGCTGATGGAGGATACCCTGTCTGATGGAGGATACCCTGTCTGATGCCAGATACCCTGTATAATGGGGGATACCCTGTCTGATGGAGGATACCCTGTCTGATGCCGGATACCCTGTCTGATGGAGGATACCCTGTCTGATGCAGGATATCCTGCCTGAAGAATGCCCTATCCATCCTTGCCCTTACTGGGCACTTCCTTGGTGCCAGGCTCGGACAGCGCACCCCAGCAGGGTTACCTGGCAAAGGAGGCAGACACTTCAACAGGGGCTGGTGCTACAGGGTGACAGCCCTGCTACAAAAGCCTCATCGGGAGGATGCGCATGCAAAGCAGAGGAAAACGAAGCTGGGGAGGAGTGCCGCGGCTGGCTGATCACCAGGGATGTCATAGACGAGGCTTAGGAGCTCTGGTTTTACCCGGCAGGCCTTAGGAAGCCATTAGAGGTACTTTTGTAAACAGAGGAATGCCAGTCAGGTTGTATTTCAGACAGACCCTTGTCGGTTGAGGTAAAGAGGAGGATGCTGAAGAATTTATGAGAAAGGTGGCTGGCAGTGATCCTGAGTGTTGGGGATATAAGAGATATCTGGAAGTGAACTCACTTAGGTGATGTGAGGTGAGGAGTCGAAGGAGCTGGAACTGGAAAAGCAAGTTTTAGTTGAGAACACATGGGAATGAAGTGCCCATTGGATGTGCAAAGGAAGGCACATGGACACAAGCATGGAGTTCAGGCAGAAGATCTAGGCAAGACGGAGGCTGGGGCTCATCTAGCCCTCTGCAGGTGTGGAATGGGATAGAGGCCCGGGAGTGTCAATGGTTAAGGAAGCGCCAGGGAGAGGCCAGAAGGGAAGCCGGTAAGAGGAGCCAAGAGCTGGTATCATTAAAGCCAAAGGAGAAAAAAAGCATCAATACGAAGCAAAAGAGCAGCAGAGCACATGAGCCTCAAAACCCGCTGGAGCTGGCAGTCAGGGGTGGGTATCAAGAGCATGGGGTGTTAGGTGGGTACAGGGGTCCTGACTGCTGCAACCCGAAGGTGACTGGGAGACCAGCATATGAAGTGGAGTGGAGATGGCTTTTTCGGAGTCCAGACAGAGAGAAGACAGGGAAGGTGAGAGAGGGATGCTCATTTAGTGGAGCGGTGTTTATGGGCCGAGGAGAACGAGTCCTGGAAAAAGCAAACACTCAGGCACAGGATGGAGATGGAATCCAGGCGGATAACATCACTCTCCGGGGAAGGGGCTGCCGACCTTCGGAGCCTGAGGGCCATACCACAGCCCCGTCCCCAAGGGAGTGCTCTGCCTTCTTGAGACCTAAGTCCAGGGTGGCAGGCAGGGCTTGAGAGAGGGCCGGGGAGCTCTGGGTCAGACCAGTAAGGGGGACAGAGGGGAACCGCACCAGAGGGAGGCCAAGCTCCGCACTCTCGCTGGCTGAGCTCTGGTCTAGGCAGGGTTGACAGCAAGGGCTGGCCCTCATGCTGGCCAGCTCTGGCTGAGGAGAGAGGAGAGCTGGGTTTCTAGCCCAAATTCTGTTTCTGACCCAAAACTGGCTCAGGCTGGATTCTCCTTGCTCCTGATGGGACAAGTACTCACCACCTGTGGGGTCCACTTTGATGGGCTCAAAAGAGGTAGAAGGGTTGGGTCCAGATGAACTGCTGCTGCTGCTGCTGCTGCTGCTACTACTGCTACTGCTGCTGTCCAGCAGGGCAGATGACTGCAGTGGCCGGGTGTCCAGTGCTGCCGGGCCCAGCGAGAGTGAGCTGAGCTCACCACTGTCCTTGCTATCAGATCCAGGGCCGCCACTCACTGCAACCACATGGCCCAACCCCATCACTTGGGGCAGGAAATGGAATATTGAAAATGGCTAAAACCCACTAAAACCCACTGCCAGGATGACTACGGCCCTGGTTCCCAGGCCCAAGGAGAGTTAGGCACTGCCAGTCACCTCCGAAGAGGTCATCTGGAAATGAGGGACTGCAGGAGACAGGGGCATGAGGCCTCTAACACAGAGGCTGCCAAGGCAAGTCAGACAGGTGGATCTGGGGGGAAACTGCCACCACTAATGTCCCTTCACACAGTCAGAGATTCCCTGTTAAAAAAGGCTCTCCTTGTCCCGCCAGTGTGGCTCAGTGGTTGAGCATCAACCAATGAACCAGGAGGTCACAGTTCGATTCTCAGTCAGGGCACATGCCTGAGTTGTGGGCTCAATCCCCAGTAGGGGGCATGCAGGAGGCAGCTGATCGGTGATTCTCATCATCTTTGTTTCTATCTCTCTCTCCCTCACCCTTCCTCTCTCTGAAATCAATAAAAACATTTTTTTTAAAGAAAAAAGGCTCCCTTGTCACAGCAAGGAGAGGCCAGCTGAGGGCCAGGAAAAGGACAACCTCCGCAAGCTCTCTTCCAGCTCTGAGTACCGCATCCCACACCACAGAGGTATTGCCTCTTGGGCCCGAGATCACCCCATTGCCAGATGCTCATCATGCCTCACCTATGATCTCAGCTGCTGGAATGGCCATCCCTTGGGCTTCGACGCTAGCAGGGGCACAGATGGTGGTGGTGCTGGTGACCTGGGGACTGCTTGGGTGTGAGGCATCCTGGGGCAGGGCCACGGCAGGTTTGGGTGGAGGTGGAGGAGTAGAGAGAGCAGATGGGCTCTGGAGCAGATCTTCAGGGGGCGGCACAGGCACTGCCACAGGCGGTGAGCTCCATGCCTCCTTGTTCACCAGCAGCACCTCGATGGGACCACTCACACTCTTCAAATGAATCTGGTACTTCTTCTGCCCATTGAGGCCCTGCAGGTGTGGGGCAGGTGGAATTGGAAGCAGGCTTGGCTCCTGCCTGACCCTGAGCCACAGTGCCCTCTCTCACCCCAGGCTACCCATTCTCCTAGATAACCCGAAACCTCAGGCCTCCCCTACCCGCCCCACCCGAGACTTATCGGGCTCCACAGCCAGCACCCACCCTCAGCCAACCCCGCCTGCCTGAGCTGAGCACCCACCTCTGGGATGGGCACCTCCAAGCTGGTGCCAGAAGGAGCCCGGATGGCTAGAAGAGTGTCTCCTAGAATAACAAGGGGGATGGGTCAGGACCCAGGGGTTCAATCTGAGCTGGGAATGGGGGTTCCTATTCCTTGGAGCAGGAAGACCATGGTCTCTGAGGGGCTAGACACCCAATCCCCACAGTGGCTGGGACAGAAAACTAAAGCTTTTCTCCTTCTAAGACCCCAGGGGTGAATAAACAGAAAATCTGAATTTAAACATGTGGAGCAAAAAATTGCTGGCCAGGAGTATCCCATTCCCCAACTGAGGGCTGCTCCCTAGGTATAGGTGTTCTGGCCAAGGCCAACATCCCTTCCCCAGGACCAGTCTGGGGGATCAAAGACAGAGGAGGAACAGCTCCTGTATCCACAATGCAACTGAACGAACTGCAGGTTGGAAGGGGGCATCATGGCCCCCTGCATACAAGCATGCACACACGAGCACACGCGCACATACACGTGTACACGCACACACACGTGTACACGCACACACACACATGTACACACACACACTTTCCCCCTATGTTTGCTCTTCACACCTGAGAAGCCAAACCCAAGGCACCATGCAGATGGGGACTGACCTAGAGACCCAGCCCAGAATTCCTGTATCCCCTCAGTATGGTTGGCCTCCATAGGGCCCCAGTGATCCTCTCACCCAGGACTTACCCCGCCTGACTCCTCTTTGGGAAGGCCCCAGCAACTCTCTTAAGAGACAGAACGCTCTTTAGATACTGAACCCACTGCTCAGGGCTGTGGCTCAGCCCAGCCCCAACACCATCTCCCCCCACTCAGGCTCTGCTCACCAGCAAAGCATCTGCAGATGTCCTCATGAGTCACGTAGGCCAAGGTGTGGGGGTTAAGGAGAACGACTGATGCCCTGCCTATGGTGACAGATGGCAGACCACACAGAAGACCCAGCTCTTCAGCAGAGGTCTAACATACAAGCCCTCGGAGAAAGTCCTGGGGTCTGGGGTCTAGAAGGGAAGGATCACAGACCAAGATTGGTGGGAGAGGGGCTCTGAGAGTGAAGCAGGAGGCTGGGACCCGGCCAGGAGCTGCAGGACCATCCTCCCCAGAGGGACAGAGCTAGGACACCACAATGCAAACCCGGCTGGACTGGAGGGCCCCTCGCCCACACCCCAGGAGCAGGGGCTGCCAGGAGGATATCAGCTGTTCTGCACGTCCTCTGTGACGTTCCGGATGCTCTGCTGCACCCACACCTTGTGCTGGTCCAGCTCTTGCTCTCGCTGCTGCAGCTCTTCGATCTCTGCCTTAAGCTCAATCAGCTTGTCTGCAATCTCCCGGGTGTTACAGCCAGGCCCCACGCCCCTGAGCCCAGGAAGGGGGGCTGAGGAGGCCTGCCAGGAGCTCTGGGTCCTATGGACCCTGCTCTCTCCTGCACCCTCCACCGCCCACCCAACACTTCCGGATGGGAGATCCCACTGCCCTCCCAGGTGCCTCTACTCACTTCCACTGGATGCTATTCTTGGATTTTTTCTCGATCAGCCCAATACCTTCCAGCACGTTGGTAATGTCGTAGATCCGCCGCTTCTGGCGCACAGCTAGGGTGTCAGCTGCCTGGCAGAGAGAACAGAAGGGAGGATGCTCAGCCCCACTCTCAGGTGGACCCTCAGCTACCTGGAGACTTGGCCTGGAGGGGGCTGGAAAGGGGGTGGACAGGCCCAACCCTCCTCCCAGGCATCACAGCAGCTCAGGACCGCAGGGTGGAAAGAGGCCGGGCACAAACTACACGGACGTTCCGATGCTCTTTTCCCCGGGCAGGGAGGGCCACGAGGACCAGCACCTGCAGCCCCGAGCCTGGCACAGGGCTGACACCCAGTGGCCTCGGCCGAACGAACTACACAGCTCCCGACTTCCCACTTGGGAGAAAGCACCCGGATGGTGGCTTGCTCTCCGAGGGCTCCGCTGGGTCGCCCCAGGAGTTCCCGCTACCTGCCCAGGCCTATTCCAACATCCCCTCTGCCGCCCCGCAGGCCGGACCGCACCAGCTTGAGGTCAAGCACGCCGTCCTTGGCCTCCTGCAGAAGCGACACGAACTTGGTAGTGAGAAGCCCCAAGCTCTTCTCGTGCCGGCTCGGGGTGCCCGGGGGCGGCGGCGCCTGTGGCCCGGCCTCCGCCATCGCGCCCGCCCGCCGCCTCCCCTCACGCCAGCGTCGCAGCTTCCGCTTCCGTTCCGCTCTCTCCTAGGGAACGTGGGGCAATTCCTCTCCGCGGGTACGGCCGCAAAACTTTGGGGCCGTCAGCAAATTTTCAACCGCCGAAAAGGACGAAATCAGCCCAGGTGGAGGAAGTCGGTGGCAGCCCAGGCAGTAAAGAAGGGGAAGCCACCAAAACCTTCCGGGTGGCCAACCCGTCTCCGGAGAGGAGACCGCGCTGCCAGATGAACCCAATGTGTTTCCCCAATTCCTGCTCCTATAAGCTGCCCCCCTGTCCCGGGGTCACCCATCCTATTATCGTACCTCACTTCCCGCCAAACAATAAGCACTAACTACAACTAGCTTGTCCGCTTGTCTCCAGCCCCACTCCCCTTCCCTGATCCCCAGCCTCATCTTCCTCTTGTCTCCACCCTGCAGTGCTCAGAGGCCATAGAATTATAGCCACTTTTCAGCCAATGCAAACACGTTTACCAATGAGTCAATATATGTAAAGCACTTGGAGCAGTTCCCAGCATGTAGGGAGGATTTTGTGTTTGTTGGTATCATTTTGTTATTTTTTTTTTTTTAGCGTTTTTGTTATTATTTCTACCCAGTCAGATTCTCCAGGAGGCAGACTTTGACCCAGGGATCTGCCTGCAGGAAGTTTATCCACGCTTGTAAGATAAGCAGGAATTGCCCTGGCTGGTTTGGCTCGGTGGATAGAGCGTCAGCCTGCGGACTGAAAGGTCCCAGGTTCGATTCCAGTCAAGGGCATGTACCTTGGTTGCAGGCACATCCCCAGTAGGGGGTGTGCAGGAGGCAGCTGATCGATGTTTCTCTCTCATTGATGTTTCTAACTCTCTATCCCTCTCCTTTCCTCTCTGTAAAAAATCAATAAAATAAAGATAAGCAGAAATGGACAGAGAAGGAATTAAACTGCAATGCAGTTATAATAAAGACCCCAGCCCACCCTACTAGAAGCTCTGAAACTGGGGTGGCCCTTCCAAGAGGTGGCCCTTCCAAGATGTTAAGGGAGAGGGATGGGGTACGGGTTCTGGGCCTTTGTAGCCCAACACTGGCCTTGAGATTCAGCTGTGAGACCTCAGCAGCTTACACTGCAAGCAGCGAGAAGCAGCGAGGGGAAGAAGTGCCTTTGTCCTGAGGGTGTATTGGGGTGATTCCCTAGTGCCCGCTACATTATTACTACCTTATAGTTCCTTCTGTGGCCCCCTTAACTCTCAAGATAAACAGTTCTCAGAACCCACCATACACATTCTTTTATATATATTTATTTTTATTGATTTTTTTTTTTTACAGAGAGGAAGGGAGAGGGATAGAGAGTTAGAAACATCAACAAGAGAGAAACATCAATCAGTTGCCTCTTGCACATCCCCATTTGGGGATGTGCCCACAACCAAGGTACGTGCCCTTGACCGGAATCAAATCTGGAACCCTTCATTCCGCAGGCCAACACTCTACCCACTGAGCCAAACCGGTTAGGGCTCACATTCTTCACAACAGCCTGTGATCTCTCACTTCTCTGCAGAGGTTACACACCCTCCTCTGAAGGGCCTGTCAGCATAGTTTTCATACTGTGATGTTGTCTGCATCCATGTTTGCACACCTCACTCTCCACCCCAAATTGGGGCCATTCAGTTCATGTCTGTTCTGAGCACTAAGAGGTCCTGGGTGGACTGGTCAAGACTGAATAATCACAGGAAGTACCGCCCCCTCCCCCCTGGGAAGTGGGCCCAGCCCTCCCCACCCCACCCCACAGCGCAGATGCTCTTTCCTGTTGGGAATAAAACGCCAGAGGCTCAGCTTCCTGCCTTTCTGCATGTGGTCTTGGGGAGAGAGGAGGCAGGCTTCTGGACTGGGAGGTGGGACTGAGGCTTCCTTGGAAAGGGGAATTCTGCTGCATGCAGAGGCGTGACCCAGAGCCACCTAGGCCCTGGGAGAGAGTGGAGGGAGTGCCCAGCTCTGCTGTGAGGACTGGGGGAGAGGGCCATCCTCAAGGCCAACGCTGTTTGCGGAGGAGGGAGAACTGGCCGCCTGGTCAAGCCTGGTGAGTTCCATACCAGACTGTCCTCTGCAACGCAGAACAGGAGCGGGGTCCAGTGGAGGCCTGTGCCCACCCTGCCTCACTTGGCATCTGAAGGGGCAACGCTGAGAAACCCAGCAAAGGAGGCTTCCCAGGTGCCTCCCCATCTCACCCTGCCTCACTCCCATTTGCGGAGGAGCCTGGGCAGGAACCTCCCTCCTCCTTCTGAGAGAGGCCTAGACAGAGCCTGCAGCTCAAAGCTCCTCCACGCTGCCTGCTCTAGCCCAGACCCTTGCCCGGACTCCTACCTCGGTTCTGGCTCCTCCAGGGCCTAAAATGGACCCCACAGCCAAGGACGACATGCATCCTTCACTTCCTCCTGGTATGAGCCCTTCCGGGTGGGCTGGGGCAGGGATGTGGCAGGAAAGATGGGAGAGGTGGGCTTGGGCCCTCCCTGCCAGGTCTGGCTGGCGTTCTGTCGGTCAGTGAGAGGAGTCGCCTGCCCTGGGGTTTCAGGCTGAGGAGCAGGAAGGGGAGCAGGGTCAGCAGCTGCTTCCTTCAGGCCCTGCCCAACTGACATGGCTACCCAGGCTCTTCCTGCCCAGGGCCAGAGTGGCCGGAGCAGGAGAGGGCGGAGCAGCTGGCCCGGGGTGCAGCACTCAAGTGGGCCTCAGGCATCTTCTACCAGCCGGAGCAGCTGGCCAGGCTGGGCCAGTACCGCAGCCGTGAGGTACAGCGCACCCGCTCCCTGGAAGCACGCATTAAGGTGGGCATCAGGCAAGGGGCAGGAGAGTTAGGGGTGGGTGGCCAGCTGGCCAGGCCTCACCGTCTCCCTCCCTTCCGCAGTCAGTGGTGCAGTCATACCTGGAGGGTGTGAAAACTGGTGTGTGGCAACTGGCACAGGCCCTCGAGGCTGTGCAAGGAGCCCGTGAGGCCCTGGGCCAGGCCCGTGGGTTGCTCCGGGGCATGGCCAAGGCTGTACAGACCCTAGAGCCCTTGCGGGAGCAGGTTGTCCAACACAAGCAACTGCAGGCCCTGTCTCAGCTGCTGCCCCGGCTGCGAGCAGGTGAGTGTGCAAGGGCCCTGGGCTCCAGCCCCCCAATAGTCAGTCCACACACTCATCAAGGGGCTGGGGTACCAGTGGGAGGTTGCATGGAGGGACACCCCAAGGGCCTCCCAGAGAGTAAGTAACTCAGCCTTCAGGTGGCACATAAAGCAGGGTGCAAATTAGCTCACTCAGGTTTCCGAGCAGGGGATGTCTGAGTCAGCACTGACACCCAGTCAAGTGGCTCCGGCCACCCTGGTTGTTACATTGAAATATTCCCTAACAGCATGGGTGAATAGCCACTAGAATGTCCTCCCGTTCCTCCCTGCCTTCCCTCCAGGACCCCTGACTTCCTTCTGTTCCATCAGCTCAAGGGTTTACACCTGGCCCAACAGGCCTCCGCCCTTCCCTGGTCCTTTCAGATTGGCCAACACTCTACTATCCTGGTTATATTTTATTCTCTAATAAGGTTAAATTCATTCAGTAAAAGTCTACTCTACTGGTTATTTAATACTTTATACATCACTCCAGCCACAGGGCCTCAGCATCTGATCCTGTACCCATTGCACAGGTGGGAAGGCTGAGGCCCAGGGCTGTCTCCTCTGCTCCCTCCCCAGTGCCGGCTGCAGTGGTCCACGCACAGACCCTGATTGATGCCCATCAGCTCTTGGAGGCATATGTGAGCCTTAGGGAGCTGGAGCAGCTGCAAGAGGAGACATGGGCCTCTCTGGGGGATCTGGAGTTGCCAGTCTTTGAGGGGCTGGGCCCTCTGGCTGAGGCACTGGGCCAAGCTGTGGAGGCAGCTGTAGGAGCTGCAGGGCAGCTGGCCCGGGAGGACCCAGCCCTGTTGGTGGCTGCTGTGCGCGTGGCGGAGGTGGAGGCTGGCAGAACAACCTCCCTGGAGCAGGGCCCCCGGGACTGGCGGCAGCGCTGTCTGCGAGCGCTAGAGGAGGGCCTAGAGCGGGTCCACTTTGGGACGCCTCTGCTGCCTGGACCAGGGGCCCTCGCAGGGTGGCTGGAGGCTCTGCGGGTGGCTCTACCAGCCGAATTGGCCACAGCGGAGGCACTGATCGCACCCTGCTGCCCACCACACTACAAGGTGGTCCGGCTGTGGGCCCACACCCTGCACGGCGGCCTGCGGCGCTGCCTGCAGCAGTTCCTGGAAGGGCCCGAGCTGGGAGCCTCCGACGCCTTCACCCTGCTGCACTGGGCGCTGCACGTCTACCTGGGGTCAGTGCCCCTGGGGCAATGGGAAGTGGCTGGATCAGAAGCCCGGGGCTCAGAGTGACACTAGGCCACTCATCACCAGGCCAGAAATGATGGGGAGCCTGGAATTGGGGCCGGAGGCTGATGTGTCTCAGCTGGAACCTCTCCTGACCCTGGAGAATATCGAGCAGCTAGAGGCAACATTTGTATCCAAAGTCCAGGTGAGTAGTTGGGGCCCAGGTCCAGGGCAGCTCTGCCACCAGCTGTGGGACTGCATCTGTCGAGTCACATGGCTACCTGTCTCTAGCAGGGTCAGTGCCCTGCTACATTCTGCTGCCCCTTGTCCCTTCCGCCAGGCAAGTGTGGTGCAGTGGCTGCAGAAGGCACTGGAAGGGGAAGTGGCTGAATGGGGCCGGGAGCGGGAGCCTGACACAGATCCATCCGGCTTCTACCACTCACCAATGCCAGCCATCGTGCTGCAGGTGGGTGGGAAGTGGCAGCCAGGTGGACAGCCCTCATACAGAAAGCGGGGCGGGGGGTGGGGGAGCAGAACTAGGACACTGCTGATGGCTGCCCATCCCTGCCTGTAGATCCTGGAAGAAAACATTCGAGTGACCAGCCTGGTCAGTGAGTCACTGCAGCGGCGGGTGCACGGCATGGCACTGTCAGAACTGGGAGCGTTCCTGAGGAGGTCTGCCAAGGCACCGGCCCACCCCCACCCCCGGCCCTGCTCCTGGGGCAGCCCAGGGGGGCTCTGAGTGAATAAGGCACACCAGTGGGAAAGGCTCCTTGCAACAGTCCCTTGGGTATCTTGGAGGCGGGGGCCAGAGTACTTTGGACAGAAATTGTTGGGGTACCAGTGACAGCAGGGACAGGCGCCACCTCTGTCCTTTGCAGCTTTAATGATGCTCTGATCCGATTCTCCCGAGACCACCTCAGAGGGGAAGCAGTGGTCCCTCATTACGTGTCCTACCTACTGGCTGCCCTCAACCACCAATTGGCACTCAGGTACCATAAGGACCCCACAGAACCCCACCTCCACTGACTGCTGAGTACCTGCTAAGTATGGACCCAGCCTTCACGAGTCTATTAGGAACTTTGGAGTCATATAGCTCCGTGGTTCCAATCCTAATACTACTAATTACTAGCTGGGTGACCTTGGGCTAGTTACTTCATCTCTCTTATTAGTATTATATGAGTAACTAGAGGCCCGGTGCATGAATTTGTGCACAGGTGGGGTCCCTCGGCCTGGCTGGTGATCGGGGCTGTTTGGGGTCGGCTGGCCAGGGGGGGAAGGACCATGGGAGGTTGGCCGGCCACCCTGATGGGGGCCGATCAGGGCCAGCCACGGGGGAGGGACTTCGGGAAGTTGGCTAGCAGCGGGAGGTTGGCTGTGGGAGTGCACTGACCACTAGGGGAAGCTCCTATGTTGAGCATCTACCCCCTGGTGGTCAGTGAACGTCATAGCTACCAGCAGGTCCTCCAGACATAAAGGTTGCCTAGGCTTTTATATATAACTAGAGGCCCGGTGCACGAAATTCATGCACAGTGGGGAGGGTCCCCTTAGCCCAGCCTGCACCCTCTCCAATCCAGGACCCCTTGGAGGGTGTCCGACTGCTGAGGTACTCCTGGGGATCAGGCCTAAACCGGCAGTTGGACATCCCTCTCACAATTCTGGACTACTGGCTCCTAACCGCCTCTGCCTGCTGGCCTGATTGCCCCTCACTGCCTCCCCTGCCGGCCTGGTTGCCCCTAACTGCCCCCCTGCTGGCCTGATCACCCCTAACTGCTTCTGCCTGCCGGTCTGATCGCCCCCAACTGCGCCCCCCCCCTGCTGGCCTGGTTGCTCCCAACTGTCCCCCCTGCCAGCCGGGTCACCCCACACAGCCTGTTTGGTCATCTGTTCAGTTCTGATGGTCGCTTAGGCTTTTATATAGATAGATGAGATGTTCTGAGGATCACATTTGATGTAAAGTCGACCACAGTGCCTAGCACATAGTCTCATGTATTCATTAATTCAACATACTACAACATAGTATATTCACCAAGGCCTACTCTGTGTCTGAGGTTACAGTTGTGATCAAAACAGAAAAGTATTTCCTTCCCCTTGGGTCTTATATTAATTGGGATTAGAGGGCCAGTGCATGAATTCATGCACAGGTGGGGTCTTCAGGGTGGCCTGTGGAGATTGGGCTCCAGTTCACAGTTCACACCCCCAGCCTCACAGCCCCACCTGGCACCCTGCCTTGGCCTGGTGCTGCCTGCTCTGCCATCCTGC